CATGCACGATTCTGAATCTAAGCAAAGCAAGTTTGGATTTACGATATGGCTCTGAATCTAATCAAAGCAAGCTTGGACATACGAAATGATTCTGTATCTAATAAGCTTAGATTTACGGTCTATTTAAAAAAAAAAACTTTTAACGGCCCCAATAACTTTTAAATATGTTTTCGGAAGGATTGGTAGTAACTTATATAGTCAGAATTACGGGGATTGAGAGTTCAATTCTCGTACCTCCGAATTTTTTATATTTTTTTTCTTCAAATATCAACAATGAATTGTCTAAATTTTATGTTTTTGCTTGTGTCATTGGAATTCTCAGGTTCGGCTCTGCATACATGATATCACGTTTAAGAAGAAAAAACATGATCATAAAATGCCGTATTAACAAAAATGCTACTGCATGGATTTGCTAATTTTGCTCTATAAATGGCTATCTAAATATTTGTCTTGTTGTATCTATAATGTTCCATCATTTTGTATTTAACATTATCTCATTTGGGATTATAAACGTTTGTGATCAATAAAGCATATGTTCCACAAAAAAAATGTTAATAAAAAAAACCAAAATTAAAAAAATGTCGTATTAAAATATCAAAAACATTTTTTGCCCTACGACCCTTAATAATTTTGGGGCTAATTTTTTGTTTGCTGTCGCATATAGTGTCGCGGAAAACGAAATGATAAAAGAAGAAATCGAATATTTATGATCATATTTGGTCATCTAGCTTTCGTTCATTTCTTTTCAAATATGATTCTCTTACGCTCTCATCTTTTCTACATGTTCACTTTTGGATCGCATTAGCTAGAGACATGCATGGGCCTAGCCCAGTAAAAAGAAAATTTGTTGTCAGATGAAAAGAACAAAGAAATTTTTGTCATTATAACTGTACTTAAAATTTAGTTTTATTTAAAAATCAATCATTATGGTTTGTTCAAGTTCAGCTTTTGCTTGTTTAAGGTTTTATATTTTGATTCGTTATTACTTTTCTTGAGTCTCTTGACCAATAAATGATAAGACTACATTTCAACCCCAAAATAGTTTAAGAAAAATCCACACGTGATGTGATGTAATTATTGAATAATCTTATAATTTGTCTTTGCTTCGCTATTAGACCAGACTAGAAGTAGAGCCTAGTGATCTACCTCTTGTTTCATTGGTTCGATCCCAATTTTCCGACAAGACGTCCCTTGATTAGAATAGAGAATTGAAACAATAACAAAACTTTTTTTAACAGTAGCCTATAAGGGTTTTGATGGGACTTAATAGTTAATACAAGATTCTTCTTTTAAAACCTATCTCCTAATAAGTTATAGATGGCGATGTCCCTAGTTCTTAGAGAAAAGGACCAACCGATGAAAGAAAAGAATCAATTGAATGATTGTTATTTTTAATTAACAAATATAATTGATGGAAATGTTCAAAGACAAATTGATGTACTTTGGCTATATTTGTAAACCAATTCTTTTTCGTTCCAATTTCTTATAGCCAAGTCGATCCCGATCTTTTACCATTCGATTGATCTCTTATGATGAGTATGTGAAACCATTTTTTTTCATTCCAACCTTTTTTTTGTAATAAAAAATAATCTAAATCTCTTACCGCTCGACTAATTTTATAGGACGAGTGTGGCCGTCGAATAGTCTGTTTGCCAGATATTTTAATGAGTTTAAAACATAAAATCATTTTCAGTAGACAAATGTGTTTTTAGATAGCTTCACGGTTAAAAATAATCCAACTCTCACCTAAACCAACAAAACAGTTCCTCCCAAAATAAAAAACCACTAATCCATTACAACATGGTTAACATTCATTCCAACCTTATTGCCCAATGGCATAATTGTTTTATACAAAGCTAACAGGTTTGTTGGAAAGTTCAGTTTTGTTTGCCACTAGTTATGCAAATACATAGGAAACCCCATATAGCAAGAAAAACAATTTTAAAAGTTAAAGCCAAAAGAAGAAAATAAACCAATTCGTTACCAAAACTTGTTTAAAATAAATTCTTGGATTCCAAGAGAAATCATACTTTTTCTTCTTGACTTTCTTCTCAAATATTATTTGCCTTTTGTTTTTCTAGACAGTTCAAAAGCCTTGATTTCTCTTCTAGATTTTGTAAAGAAACATTATCATAGTGCCCAACTAATAAATGAGTTCATGGAGATATTCGGTTTCCTATTTGTATACCATCTGTATAAACTCATTTCTTTGTTGGGGAATGACTCAGAACACTAAAATATATATGATCAGATAGTAGAATACATGAACGAATGATTGTAAAATGCTATAATTTCATATGCATACTGATGTAGTCACATCTACGATAACACAAAAAGAATATAAATCTCCGAGTTATAGCCATAACAAGGATTAAAAAATTGAAAGCTCTTGAATTAATTGATTCAATGAAAGTCGTGATCTCAAACAACACCAAGACAAGAGTCACGTTTACATAGTGAACTGAAACTCAAAACCATATTCCTCCCACTAACTGAATTCTATCTCTCTACTTGGAGAATTCCAAATCAAATAAGGAAAAACCAATACCAAAATTATCTAGAAGGAAGAAAAAACCAACACAACAGCGACATTAAACTAGAAGATGCACTGAGCTTTGCATCGTCTTGTGTTCATGATGAAGCATAGACTGAAGCCGAGGAACCGAAAAGACTCCAGTCATTGACTTTGAAGGTAGAGAGTGATTGTTTGATGACATCACTCATTGGCATAATTCCAGATTGTGAAGCTGGGACAGCTAAACCAGATCCCACCGCAACTGCACTTTCGCTCAACGGGCTGCGTAATATCAAAACACAAGATGAGACAAAAACACATGTCGAACA